ATAAGAAATCATAAATTAATACTATAAATAATTTTTAAATTTCGTATTTCAGTACTTTCAACACAATTTTTTTTCTTTTCACACTTTTCTTTCTTTCCATTTTTGACTGCATGTCAAGTCAAATGTTTTGAAAATTTCGTGATCATTGAACCTAAAATATTTCCAAACATTTTTCAGTAATTGTTTCAGTCATTATGCAGATGATTTAGAGAAATATTTCTAATATATTTCTTTGTATTGTTGTTTTTCTAGAGTTCATTTTTAAGCATTTGCGCAGTGCATTTTCGAATTGAGTTAATGACAACTGTCAGGTACTCAATATTGGTATGGAAACATGGCCCAACGTATGCGTCAAATTCTTGTTTACGAAAGTGTGGGCGGAGTCTAAACAATATACTATATAAAATTTAGTATATAAGGCATATACTATAAACACTATTCTGCGTATTTATTAGCATTTCGTCTTAGGTTTTCAGAATCCTCACAGCTCAAGTGTAGAATTTATGTTTTACCTGAAAGCATATGAATTTTAGTGATATTTAACAACGTCATCTTGAGTTTTGTTGTATCTAGTAGAGAACATCATTTTGGCTAGGTTCCTTTGCACCTGAAAAGCTGAAACAAAACACTTGTGAATGGAAAGATTCGCAAGTGTTGATATGAAACAAACATGTTTGTTCAGTGTATATAGTATATAAATTATTTTTACTGCTAAACAGAATTGTTATATTTTTTTCCATTATTTCTTTTTTATATTTTACAAAACATTTATGTTGTATTTTTTAGCGGTTGCGGCTGCTCGCAAACTGTCAAAGCGGCTAGGAAAATTTATTTTATTTATTTTCGATGCGGATTTTCGCTTAAACTTTAAGCATGCTCCAAGCAACATTTTCTATTGGCATCTCACTTTGTCCAATGTGTTTTTTTGGAATCGAAAGCGAAGCAAAGCAAGGAGACTTTTTTTTCCACTACTATATAGTTAAATACATATATACACAGATATGTATTTTCATTTTCCACTTGTCAGTTGACAGCGCAACGTTTTTCTCTTGAGTGTCGTTCTTTTCCCAAATATCCAACATCTAGCTGTGCGTGTGTGTGTGTGTTCTTTTTATTGTATAGATACTTTCACGCCAATGTTTTTGAATTTTTGCTATATTTTGCGCAACCCAGCGAGCAAGTGCGTGAATTGATTTTAGTTGGGCCAAAGCCTCGCTGCAGTTAATAGCACAAATAGTCCGTAAAACTAAGAGAGAAAAAACTTGTAAAAAGTTTATAAATTCATATACCCTCAAAAGAATCCAGGTAACCCCAGGGCAGCGTTGGCATTATCTTGTGTCGAGTGAAATCGCTTTGCGTAATCCCAATCGAATTTAAGTGTGCCGTGCTAATAAATTTATCGAGAAATATTTGGAACTGTTCCAATCTATAAAGCTGGAATTATTATTATGCCAACAATTTTTGGTCTATATGTACTATAGACAGACATTTTGATTGCTCTATCAGCAGTAAAACAACAACAACAACAGTAACAACAAATAGAAAAAACAGATTTAAATAGAAATTAATGCAGAACATCAAATAAATATATATTATATTATATAGTATACGCGTCTGTATGGAGAATGTCGGCAGTTTAAATAACATTTCATATGATTTCTTGTATTCGCATAAAAAGAAATAAAATAATAAAATAAAGCAAGCTGTATAATTCAAGAACAAAATGATATGTGTTTTTTGAAAATTAATGGACGCCTTTTGAATGCGGAGAGCTTATATATATATTAAATAGTCACGCACGAGCAAATATTATTAGTGCCTGACCTTTGCGAGGTTGTCTGAGCAGAGATAAAACCATCCAATTGGAATCTAATATGATACCTTAATAATTTATTAACTGCCTGTATTTTCCAACATTTATTTATAGCGCTTGAATTAAAATGAGTGAGGCCACGAATCTGTTCACCACCTTTGGCATTTTGGCCATTTTACTGTTCTTCCTCTGGATCATCTATGCAGTGTTGTAAATAACACTGACTCCAGGCTTAGGCATGGAGCAAAGGTGAGTGTGATTACTACTATTAGGCAGTAAGAAAAGTAATTAAAAGTAAGTCAGAATTTGGGGATGGTTTAAGGTTTAGTATAAATATATGTGTATGTATGGAGATTATAAGGTTTTAGATCATATTTTTTTTTTTGTAAATTAAAATCATTAAGATAACAATTTATAGTACTTCAGGAACTAAGAAAAATGATCAAATATATCAGACTTCAAAGGATGCAAGGATTGATTGGAACTTATTTTAAAAGTAAAAAAAACCGTAAACGGTTATATTGGCTTGGTGTAATGTATGGTTTGGCATAAGTGTTAAAAACTTAGAAATGTATATGTATGTATTTGTATATGTTCATATAAATATGTATATGTCTACGCAAAGATATTTATATGTGGGTAAAGTAATAAGGACTGTATAGTATATACCCATGAACACAATAGGAAAGCAGACAAAAACTTTGGCCAACTAGAAACATGACTCTACGTAGAGCTAGAAGGTAAAATACTAAAGCTGCAAATACTAAAGAGTGCAGACTTATTCCATGACAAATTGTTTTTTTTTTTTCTTTAAACACATTTATAATGTTCTAGAAACTTTAAAAAAACTTTTAAAGATACTTTTTAGTTGTAAACAATATAAAATTGTAAACAATTGCCTGTGTTTATAGGAAAAGAAATTTGAATAAATTTGACAAAATTCTGTCTTTAAGAAAACAAATTCCATGAATATTCAAGCTCATCAAGATCCTCGAGATTCGGCAATTTTTTCATTACATGCATTCAATAAATTATTCCAAAGACTAAATTAAAAAGGAATCTCTAAAATATGTATGTGCATAGCTATTTGAAAATTCAATTGGTAGCAAATGTAGGGCAGAGTCGGGGCTACGTGCCTTGAAATGTTTTGGACATGTTTCAAAAAAGCCAAACAAACATGTGGCACAAGCAATTTGAAAACGTATTTAGCAGGCCAAAAGAAAATAAATGCGAATTGCGATTTAGACTTCAGCTGCCTGGAAGGTAAAGTAGCACGTCGGCCAACCTTATAGAAGCAGACACTGAATAACAAAAAAATAAATACATTTCGAAAAGAAATACACTGCACGGGGTGCAAAGCAATTTGCCAACGCCTCAAATGAATGATGGCCGCATTGAAAAGAAGAGAACGAGAGAAACTGGGAGAACTATGGAGAAGTTGCCGCAGAAAGAATGCTGTCAAGAGCTATAGCTACAGCTGTAGCGCCCACACGCATCCACATGGAATCTAAACATACTTATATATAATATTGCGTATACGTACGGTGGTCCACACATATAGAGACGATGTGTGCCACATCAAAATATGCGCAACAACTGGACACCAATACGTGTGGCCGTCTACCATATATATCTCTGAAATAAATGTGTGTTTGGGCCATATGAATAATTATATATATATAGTCACATATGTAGATATATATGTATATAGTTATATACATATATAAACCATAATTCCAATGAGCTGGCTGCTGACTGCGGGCTGCTGTCCGATTTTGATTCTAGATAAAAATTGTAGGCCAGTTTGTGGAGAAATATTTTTTGGTGCGTTTCTCAGTTATTCCGTGCCATTTGCTACGAACGGTCTGCCGATTCCTGCAAGTACCCAAACTGTGTGTAATCATATAGAGTGCATTGATATAACAGACCCTAAACAATATTCAAAGCTGTTCTCCACACTTGACTAATTAGTTAATTATAATTTTATTTCTCTATTAAAAAATCAAAATCCAGCAAACAACAACAACAACAAAAACAACAACAACAAAATGAATGAAGCAAGAAGTTTGTTTACCACCTTCTTAATCCTGGCCTTCTTGCTCTTCTTGCTCTATGCCTTCTACGAAGCCGCCTTCTAAATTACGATTCGAGTCTACTAGTTCAAGGATATATGCTTACATGTTGAATTTTGAATTCCAACAACATTTTCAAATATGATACAAATAAAAACAAATTTACTTACCGACTAGGATTAAGTCGCTAGCATTTAATGGATTTCTATTAGTACCCTAAGTCAGGTAAGTTAAAACCAAATAAGAATTAGAATAATAAAAAAAAATTTAATTTATTGCCATCC